TCATGGGTGAAGACCTGACCTTGTGGAAGGTGCTTACCTTGTGAATTGTTACTCTGTAAAATCTGACATTGTAGAAAGAAAAAGCATGTTCACCTGTTTCTGTATCACGAATGGAGTCTAGTATTCGTTCCTGTCTGCCTCCACATACTCCAGCATTTCAAGACCTTGTGTGGCTGGGGGGCTTGATGGCTGATGGGTTGGTTCTGGTGAGCGTCTCATGACCTCTCCTCTTCCTAGGCGGTGTTAGCAGTCACATTACCACAGACTAGTCACTACTGTATTTTTTAATTTAATGTAATTTTTTGAGGGTTTCTGATAATGCTACATTTTGAACATACAAAGGGCACAACATGAATATTTTTCCAGAATATTTCAAAGGATGGTGCTAGTCTATCATTGTCTGCAAAGCACCTTCACATACTGTTACTTTGGTCATTTTGTCTCTTTAAGACACCACATGTCCATAGTTTTGTCCTGTCCTGAAACCAGGGGAAAGAGAGTCCTGTAGAGGGTTCTTAGTCTTATTCATAAAAGAATTGAAGAATGGACCCAAACAGCAGAAAGACAGACTTACAAGACCTGCATGACTGTAGCTGGTAAGAAGTTCTGTGGAGTTCTGGGTTACAAGGCAGGATTCCAAGCAGGAAAAATTTGCTACCTCATTAATGTACCAGGTATCCCACCCATCTATTTAGCATAACTTAAGGTGGACCTGCCTTCCTAGGGGTGGTTCTATCATCAGGTGATTGACCAGTGAGAGTGGAATAGACTAGGGATTTTATAGTCTTGACCAGCTAAACTTATGGGGCCTTTTGCTATTCTAACGTCACCCCCCTCTGAAGAGGTAACCCTAAAAATCTATTAGGGGTTAGATAAGAGCTCCTAAATACTTTTGACATTTTTGGTCTTTGGAACAGAATATGTTGCTAAGAGGCCCAAGGACATTTTGACTTTAGCCAAGAAACTGGCTACTTTGCTTTGGGGTCTTTTTACCCTAACTGCCTAGCCAGTTCCTACCTCCTGTTCTTATCACGCCATCCTCTGAAGGGGTTACCCAAATTGCCGATAGGAAATTGGGATGTAGACTGCTCTGGCTTCTTCCACGTTGAACAGGGACACAGGGTGAGGCAATTGGGGTACCCCTTCAGTGGGTCTATCTAAAAGGCTCCCAAATTGCATAACTCTTATCTGTAGGGAGAAAAGAAAATCCTTGACTGGTGCGTAGGAGATGTGGAGAAGTAAAGGCAAGAGTAATTAGCATTAAAAGTTCTAGACAGGGAACCAGAAAAAAGTCAGAACAGGGCAAATTTCAAATGTTCATATCAGAGTCCATTGGGATTTCTTGATGAGTGCTTCCAAAAGCATCCCTCTAGTGGGTTTCTCCTCATTTTTCTATTCTCTGCCAAGGCTGGACTCAAGAGGGATGGACTCAGGATTTGTTTTCAGGCACTTTGATAGCTGCTGGAGTGGCTAGAATCAGTGTCGGTTCCCTCACAAAGGCTTCTAAGAAGATAGGGGGAGAAAACAAATTTGTCCATCGTTTTAGAACAATAGCTGGTTGTCTCCCTTACCTACAGGTGGGCACTACAGTATTGGAGACCAAGATTTGAAGTCTTATATCTGAGCAGCACTTTCTGGTTAGGAACAAAATCATCAATGAGAAATAATTGTCTAAAATAACATTTTATATGGACTTAAGTCTGTCTGGGAAGTATAATCCCTTGAACTCTTAAAGAAATATACTGATGACTTTAATCTTTGGTTATACTTTTCTTTTGGGTGTTTAAGACTGTACAGTTGGCCCAAATAAATCAATTCATTTTTACTCTTAAGGTTGTTTGAGGATCTGTTCCTCAGGGGTCACATGAACTTGGGAGGAGCCCCTGGCTCCTTTCTTTTACCAGTTCCATCTATGTGAGGATAAGTCAAAGGTCCTACTCAGTTGTGACTGGCTTCACTTGGAAGCATGGAGGAAATGTTTCCTCTATGTTGACCCTCTTCTTTGTAGACTGGACAATGGTTCAAGTCCATCTGGTGGGGTCTCCATGGCCTCTCTGAACAAAAGGACAGGTGACTCACCACAGTTACAGGACATTTTGAGAGATGCTCCATAGTTCCCTGGAACTTAGTCGACCTTGGAGGACAAGGAGCAAAAACTGTCCTTTAAGTCCCTCTGACCAGATTAGGCCACTGCTGTATTGTTTTGCTTATTTTGTTGCCCTGACTACAGGGCCAAGGTTAAATCTGTTCCTTGATGACAGCTATGGGATGGTCTGTTGGGAAGACGTTCTCACCTGCAGCTCTGCTGCAACAGCACTTACTGTGTTGATTCATTTTCAAAAGGCAAACGACAAACTGGGGGAGTCATCATGATTTAAGATCAAGGCTGATGCTGTGCTCTTGATTAAAGGGTAATCCTGGCTTGGTGGGGGAGCTCTACTGCCCCAGGCCATCAGGTTCGGAATGCCTTTGGGCCTTTCCTGAAATAAGTCTTACAGTGTATGGTGGGGTTAAAAGATTAGAATTTCTTCTCATAAACCAGATTTTACAGGTTTGAAAGACTAACACAGAGTGTCTCCTCCATGGGGCAGCGCAGACATCTGTCAGTCAGGGACTTCGGATAAAAGCCTATGAGCAGCTGTGAGGTAGGGACCCTGTGCCTTCCTGTATGAGGGGAGATTCACATGTCAAACTGAGGAGAGATGGCTTTTGGTCAACCAGAAAGTACCTGGCCTTTCTCACATGTCAGATGTGAGCTAAGTAACAGGCCGCCGCAGGACACTACTGTAATGAGCATGCTATGTAAAAAACATAGATGAACATGTTTGTCTTTTCCCACCATGTCATTTTGACAGTAATTTGCCAGGTAGTTGCACTTCTGATAGTCTTATCTTAAATGCTAATACTAACTTTGAGACCACACATTACATATTACACAGTAAATACATCTGTATCTTGTCTACAGAGTGACTACCAAGGGGTTAAGAGGCAGTGTTACGGTCAGGCCCTGCCCTGCGCTAAGTTACTCCATGTTATGTGCTACAGAGATGTTTCAGACTGGGTCTTGCCAGGTAACCAGCAGCTTTTGACTGCATTTTGAGGCTGGAGGATGGCTGTGTACCTGGGTGGACCCACAAACAGCATCCATGACCTACTCAGAGCAGAAGGGTGCCATCCTATCGATTTACTGGTGTGAATTGAGACTATAGGGGCACATGGATGTATTACACTTACACAGACGCCAGGCCTGCCAGGTGTGGTGGCACACATCTTTAATCCCAGCACTCGGGAGGCAGAGGCAGGCGGATTTCTGTGAGTTCAAGGCCAGCCTGTATGCCTAGAATATCAAGAGCATATTGAAAAGTGCGTAAGACTAAAAAAAAAAAAAAAAAAAAAAAAAAAAAAAAAAAAGCCCAAGAACTTGTCAGACACACCAGAGCAAGGAAAGGAGATAACTTCCTCCCTCAGACTCCTTAAAGAGGTGGACCCTTACCATGTCTGAAGTCTCACGAGTTCATTGCTGTGTCTTCAACATTTTGTACCTCTTCTGTACCACATGTGTGCATGTACCATGTGATGTGAAGCTAATATTGGTAATTAAGTAGATGTGAATTGTTGCTCTGACATTGTAGAAGAACAGCAGTGTGTTCATCTTTCTGGCATAGTGTGTGCTCAGAACAGGCGGGAGGCCTGCTGTAGTTTACTTTTTTTTTAATTTTATTTATTATTTTTATTTTATGTGTATGTGTGTATTGCCTGCATGTAGGTAAGTGCACCCATGTTGTGCAATGCCCGCGGGGGTCAGAAGAGGCTCTCAGATCCCCTGGGACTCGAGTTATGGACCGTTGTTAGCTGCCATGTGGGTGTGGGATTCGAACCCGGGGCTTCTGCAAGAACAACCAGTGTTCTTAACTGCTGAGCTGTCTCTCCAGCTCTGTAGTTTGCTTTCAATTGCTGTGACAAAACACTTTGACCAATACCAACTTGGGGAGGAAAGAGTTTATTCAGCTTAAATCTCCTGGGTCATAGTTCATTGGGGAGCCCAAGGAACTCCGGGCAGGAGGTGGAGCACAGGCCATGGAGGAACACTGCTTACTGGCTTGCTCCCCTGGTCTGTGCTCAAGCTGCTTTCTTATGCAACACAGGCCCACCTGCCCAGGGGTGGCACCACCCACAGTGGGCTGGGCCCTCCCACACCACTCAATAATCAAGAGGATGCCCACAGACATGGCCACAGGCCAGACCAATGGAGGCAATTCCCCAGCTGAGGCTCCCTCTATCCAGGTGTGTCAAGTTGACACTAAAGCTGTCTAGCACAATGCCCAAGAAGCGAAGGTGGGAAATTGATAGGGATACAAGTATTAGTCTGTATTGATGAGGTCTAAGGGCAGGAGTTGGACCTTTCTTTCCTGGGTCTAGTGTGTCAGATAAGTTCTGGTTTTCCTGATAGAATTTTAATGCTCCCATGTGCCTCTGTCACCCACTTCATTCCAGCAAACATTTATACAATGGTACCAGAATAGCCAGGAAGATCTGCACATAGCAGTCTAGGGCTTCTTAGCCCCCAGCTCCAAACTCTTCCCCATTCCTCCCATAAACCATCTTCAGAGGTGTAGAAACCACAGGGTCAGGATTATCATAACAACAACCCTAGTCCTGGTACCAATTTTCTGTATTAGTTACTGTGACAAAAGAAATTTAAGGGAGAAGTTTGTTTATGCTCACAGTTTGAAGGGCTATAGCCCATGGTGGCGGCAGGAGTGTGAGGAGAGGTGGATGGTCATACTGTGTTCATGGTCTGGAAGCAGAGGGTGCTGGGGCTTGGCTGGCTTAACCCTTCTTCCTTATTATTAGATTGGAGCGCTAGCCCACACGATGGTAGAGCACACATGCCAGGGGGGTTAGACCTCTGGGCACACCTTTACAAACACATGCAAAGATATGCCCGGCCCACTTTCTGCACAGCGGGTTTTACTCTGACTCTCTCTCTTACTCAACAGACAGTCCTGGACCCAGCTGTGTGTCAGGTGCCAGTGACCTTCAGAGATGTGGCTGTATACTTCTGCAGGGAAGAATGGGAGTGTCTCAGCCCAAGCCAGAGGGTTCTGTACCGCAGTGTGATGCTGGACAACTTCAGGAGCTTGACTGAGCTGGGTAAGGGCTGCAGTGTCAGTCTTGGAGGCAGGTCCCAGCTAAGGGGCCCATGCCATGTCTGCTAAGGGTATGTCTTTTGGCTCCCTTAGAGGCAGCTCGGCATCTTTCCTCAGATCCCAGGGCCTTGTGTGGGCCTCTGCTAAGGGTATGTCTTTTGGCTCCCTTAGAGGCAGCTCGGCATCTTTCCTTAGATCCCAGGGCCTTGTGTGGGCCTTGTTACGTGTGTGTGTGTGTGTGTGTGTGTGTGGTGTGTGGTGTGTGTGTGTGTGTGTGTGTGTGTGTGTTCCTCCGGTGCGCAGGCTCCTGCTTCCAGACAGCTTCTCCAGGGGGCCCACAAGATCTGGCCTGACTGCTGGGTTCATCTTGTGAGGCCCAGAGCTGATCTGAGCCCTGACCCTGACATTATCCTCTACACAAAACACCATTTCTCACTTTTGAAAAGGATACTGTGGCCCTAGACCAGACCTTGTTTCTCGCCTGGAACAGTGGGATGAGCCATGGGTTGAAGACTGGAACAGACGTGAGTTTCGGGAAGCTCAGAAGAGTATCTACCCAGGTAAATGGGATGAAGGGTAGGCTGCACTTGGTTGGCCTGCCCTGTGTTTCCCGACACTGGCTAAATCCACTCTCCCTACCCCCACCTCCACACAGACGCTGTGGGAGAGTGGATGCAGGACTGAATCTGAGTGAGGGAAGTCCGTGAATGGTGGCCCTGCCTTTACCACTGAGCCCATTGGCACACATGCCGTGGGACCCTGCTGGGTAGATTGTTGAGGGAGGGAGGTGTGTGGGAAGGAAGGTAATGTCCTGGCACTGCTGTGATGACTAGGAGTGGCTGAGAGTCTGCAGTGACAGCTACTTGTGGGGCAGGGCCGTGTGTGCGCACGTGTGCGTGCGGCATAGATCTTGAATCCCCTTTCAGGTTTGTGGTGACAGGTTTTCTAGTCCATGTGTGTCTGCTCATTTGAAAAACTCTTTCGTAGCCTGTTGCTTTCCTTAAATATAGTGCTCCCAGCAATGGTCAGGAGGGTTTTCTTTTCTTTTTGCTGTGGTGGACATGAAACCCTAGGCCTTAGCATCTGCCACTGAGCTGCCCAGCCCTGGGCTTTGGTTTTATTTTGTATCTTCTGAGAGGTTGGGTCAAGCAGTAAATATGTGACTGGAACAAGCTGGTAGTCCTTGGGTCATGTGGAGCTAGCTGGCTCCTGTTTGCAGGGACACCTGGCCCAGGTCCACCTCCAAGTAGAAGCAGGCCCTGGTACATGAACACAAGCTTACTGAAGGTTTTGTTGGGCCATTTAAGCCACTCGCAGTATTCTGTTCCATCGTGTCTCAGTCCAGGCCCTGCCCCTCCTGTCCAGGCTAAGTGAACACTGGGGTCATTTGAAGTCTTCCACTGTTAGTGGCTTCAGCTCATCCCTGCACTGAACACGTTTCTTTTATAACTCTGACCACTTCTTTTTGACTGCCTGGGAAGGTTGAATTGAGTTGATGTGACACCTTCTCAGCTCTCCTTCACACTTTGTTGGATGGCTGCTTTATGACTGGGCCTGTCCCTGAGCCAGTCTATGTAAATGGGTCTTTTTTTTCTCCACAGGAGGCAGGAAGCCCACTGACCAGAAGAGACACTGTGATCAGCTGACCTCAGCCCAGGAGAGAGCCCGTCCGAAGCAGACTGGAGCCAAAAGAGGAGCTGCCTTCAGGAAGAGTGTCCTCCTTCCCAGAGCTACCTCTGGGAGGAAAGTGGACAAGCCTACAGCTTTGCAGGGCCAAGTGTGTGCGAAGTCCTACAGGAAGCAGCCGGGCCTCAGGGAGCAGTGCAGGAGTGGGGCGGAGGGGCAGCCATTCATTTGTGGTACATGTGGGAAAGCTCTGAGCTGCCATAGCCGGCTGGCTGCTCACCAGACAGTGCACACGGGGGCCAGGTCCTTCGAGTGCTTTGAGTGCGGCCGAACCTTCCGCTGGGTGTCTAACCTCCTGCGCCACCAGAGAAATCACACGAGTGAAAAACCCTTCTGCTGCGAGATATGTGGCCAGGCCTTCAGCTTGAAGGACCGCCTGGCACAGCATCGCAAAATCCACACGGAGCACAGACCTTATGCATGCGGTGATTGTGGGAAGGCCTTCAAACAGAAGTCAAACCTCCTCCGGCACCGTCTGGTGCACACTGGGGAGAGGCCTTTCTATTGTGATGACTGTGGCAAGACCTTCCGGACCAAGGAGAACCTCAGTCACCACCAGCGGATTCACAGCGGAGAGAAGCCCTATACCTGTGCCGAGTGCGGCAAAGCCTTCAGGTGGCCCAAGGGCTTCAGCATCCACCAGAGGCTGCACCTGACAAGGCGGTTCTACGAGTGTGAGCACTGTGGGAAGGGTTTTCGCCACCTGGGTTTTTTCACACGGCACCAGAGGACTCACAGACGAGGCGAGGTATAGGGGTGCCTGAGTACACCGCACCTGGCCATGGTGGCCTGGGGAGCTGCTGCTGCAGTTGCTCTCTAGCCTAGGAGTGTGTGGTCCTTGAATCAGCTACCTGGCACTCCCAGGGCTGAGAGGGTCTACCAGGAATGGACACGGGGAAAAGAAGCCTGAAGCAGCCCCAGCTCTGCTGCTCCTTTGGAGTTCTGTGCCTCTGGCTGTGTCCACTGAGGAACCTGTCCCTGTGCTGACTGTCCCTTGTGTGCACTTTAACGTCTCTTGAATCTCCCTCACCTATGCTTTTTGTTCTGCTTCCTGTCGTCTTGTTGATAGCTTTGATGCTTGTGCAGAAGGAAAGCCTCTGGGGGCCTGTGAGATAGCTCAGGGTACAGGCACCTACTGCCAAGCCTGATGACCTGAGTTTAATCCCCAGGACCACATACCGCAAACTATCCTCTGACATCCTATACTCTTGGGGTGTGGGACGGGATTTGGGGGTGTGGGTGCTCGTGCGCGCGCGCGCGCACACACACACACACACACACACACACACACGTAAAATTTAAAGAAGCCTCTGTAGCCATCAGGAGATGGCCATAGAAATGAGCAGCCTTGTGGTAGTGCAGGCCCATTAAGGGCTGAGAAAGCTGGATTCACTGCTGGGGGCCCTGGGGCATGTGGGCAAGCAGCCACAGATTGCACGGGACACGTGGGGGTGCTGAGTTTGTTCAGCACCCCATGACACTGTCTGTAGTGGTTTCTTCAACTAAAGACGTTGAGTGGCGATTGCATTTTGCTTCCATTTATTAAGGTTCATTAAAGTATAACCAGGAGGCTATTTCCCAGTGTGGTGTGGGTTGCTGCCTGGGGCTAGATGACCCTTTGCTCTTTCGTAGAGCTGTCAGTGCTGGATGGAGAAGGGGCAGCTGGAGCAAGCCTCTGCTTCTGGGCACGTGGTTGAAAGTTTGCTGCTTCTCAAGGATCCTGTTTCTGTGCACGGGGTCAGAAATCATGGAGATGACCACTGAGTAGGGCAGCTCTGCTCAGGGTTGGGACTCCCTGCTTCTGGGTCTGTTCAGCAAATAAGACCTCCCGCCCCTACAACACTACCACAGGTATGGGCTCTCTGCCCTGGCAGGTACAAGTACCATGGTACTTACCGTGTGGCAGGGGGTGCATAAGAGCTGGCTGACTCAGGTCTGTCAGTTCAACATGGAAAGTTCCAGAAACTCCTCTCCAGCTCTGTCACTGGTCCTCTAAATGGAACAATGGGATGTTCCATTGGGGGCCACCACCTGTTCAGAATGCTATGCAAGCCTGCGATCTAGTCACTGAGGCACACTGGGAATGATGGGAGTCTGGGACCAGCTCCACAGGAAGCAGATTTCACTCTTCACGTTGCCCCTGTGCACAGCTTTAGGAAATGTGACATCCAGGGTCCATTTACATTGGTAGACTATAGAGGGTACTTCCATCTCAAATCCAAGAAAGCTGAGCCCAAGGCAAGCCATCAGTCTCCCAGCGTGCTCACCAACTGCCCAGCAAGAAGCGGGCTCCCTGACTGCAATGTTTTAAGTGCTTCAACTCGCAAGTTGTATGTCAGTGCTGGAGGGCCCCTTACCAGAGGGGATGAACACAACAGTGACAGCTCCAGCTCCAGCCTGTCTCCCACCGGCTGTTTGAGATGCCAGTCCAGTTACCCCATCTGCAGCTGCCTCACCCCTTTGTTTTGCTTCCTGTCTTACTGTGTAGCCCAGGCAGGTTTTGGACTTGATCCTTTTTCGTGGCCTTCTGAGTGCTGGGATCACAAGCGTGTTACCATCACAGCCATCTGCAGTGTTTTTTTAATTTTTTTACCCCCTCATCTGCAGTGTTCTGAAGCTGCATTTAGTAATTGCTGCGGGCCCCCTGTCCCCAGTGCCTGTCACAGCCCACGTAACTTCCTGGGAAAACATGGTATTCATCCCAGCAGGCACCACTGACAGATCAAAGGAACAGTTCATTCAGGTGCAGCTTGGTGAACCAGTGTTTGCTTGGCTTGTTTTATAGGGGCGTCAGTGACTCCAGCAGTTGCATCCTGGAGTCCCACCTTCAATTAACACAACACCTCATGTACTCTAGAGTCTCCCAAGACCATCTGCAGCTGGGGCAGTTCAGATGCAGTTGGAGGCTGACCAGGGACTAGACTCTTAGGTCTGATGACCTGCCCCTTTCCAGGGATGTTGACAGACTTGATCTTGTGAGAGTGGCTGGGTAATCTGACTACAATGGTCATGTCTTGTGACCACAGTAAAATTTCAGTGTCAGGGCTGGGGAAATGGCTCAGTGGATAAAGGACTTGCTGTGCAAGCATGAGGACCCCAGTTTAGATCCCCAGCACCCATATAAAACTGGGTGGGCATGCCACAGATAAGAGTCCAGTGTCAGTGTTGAGATCTGGCAGAGGGTAGGTCTGGCTTCTGAATTGGTCATGAGGCCATCCTTGGGCAGCAGGAACACTGCCCATGGCAGTTTTGCAGCCCTGGAAGTGAACTGCTAGACCCTGACACCCTTCCAAAGTGGCCACACCATTCTGCATCCCCCCAACAATGGGTGAGTGGTCATGGTGAAGAACAAACCATCCACATGACCTCTTGGGTGAGGTCCCTCTACTTGGCCAGTTCCATCCAATCTTGTCCTAGAGACACCTGCAACAGAGATTTGTATTGGGGCAACTGCCTAACCAAACTACCCTGGTCTAGGCTGGTAGAAGGTCCACAGAGGATGCTGCCTATGGCAGAGTCCCTGCCCCAGTGCCCTCAAGGATCCCCAAGATAGCAGTCATGTGACTGTGGTCACATTTTGCATCTTTGGGCTAGGAGGTATCACCTACCTCACACTACCTTAACCGGAATTGATCCTGTAACCAGTGCATGTGACAGTCTACAGAGTCCAAGCCTCACTAAGGGGGATGTTCACAGCTGGCATTGCACAGAGACAGAATGCAAGGCGTGGCTCTGGAGAGGGGCACTGCTACAAAGGACACTACTGGGCAAGTGACAAAATCAGAACGCCCCTACCATCTAGTTGACGGCATTTTCTCCATGGTGAATTTCTACTTTTGAGAGCTGCCTTGCAGAAATACTGGACAGGCCCAGGCATATAGCACAGTTGGAAAAGTGTGTGCCTAGTATGTGTGAAGTAGCCCTGGGTTCCATTCCCAGCACAAAAAACACAGGACAAAGTCCTATACTGTAAACATACAGAGACATGTTTGAGGTTACAGGGCACAGTGTCTCCAGAAGAATCCCAGGTGACTCAAAGTACCATACTCGAAACACACATTTCCAGGGCTAGAGGGATGGCTCAGCTGTTAAGAGCACTGGCTGTTCTTGCAGAAGACCCAGGTTCAGTTCCCAGCACCCATATGGCAGCTAACAACTGTCCTTGACTCCAGTTCCAGGGGATCTTACACCGTCAATAAGTGATAATGGGAATTCCCAGACTACTGCAATTTTCCTTAAATGGGAAAACACATTAAAAAAACTTTTTTTTTTTTTTGGTCTTTTTGAAAAAGGGTCTCCCTGTAGCCCCAGTTGTCCTGGAACTCACTATGTAAACCAGGCTGGCCTCCGCCTCCAAAGTGCTGACACTACAGGCCAGTGCCACCATGCCTGGCCTAAAATTTTTTTTTATGTGTATCAGTATATTGTCTGCATGGATGTACATGCACTTGTGTTGCGCAGTGCCCAAGGAAGTCATTAGAAGGCTTCAGATCCCCTCGTACTAGAGTTATAAACAGTTAACTGCCATGTGGGTGCTGGGAATTGAACCCTGGTCTTCTGCAAGAGCAGCCAGTGCTCTTAACCACTGAGGTGACGGGAAAAGCCCCAATAGGTTAGCAGTAAACTTCCGTGGTGCTGAGAACAGAGTCCCCTCTTCCGCAGACCTTGCCCTTCCAGTTACCGCTACCCAACTTGCCCTGAGCACTGTCCTCGCCAGCCGTGCAGTCTCCGGCCGAGGGCTGTTGGGAGGACGCTGAATTTCAGCAGACTGGAAGAGACATCAATGGTTCTCTCGCAGCTTGGAAACCCCAGGCATGCATAGTTGGCCTCTGCCTTCTGGAAATACAGGGGAAGAGAACCAGGCTGGTGCCAAATGGGGGGGGGGGGGGGGGCGTGTGTGTGTGTGTCAAACTTTTATTAACATCTTTTCGTAACAAAGCGTCTGGGCACGCCTCTTCCACCCTACAGCCCCACGAACCAGGATAGGTCAGGCTTGTCCCAAGGCTGCTTCTGTGGCATCGTCGGCCTTCGCGGTTTCCAACTGCGGGTTGGGAGGGACGGGATCGTGGGACGGACGCGCGGGGAGTTTGGATCCGGATTTCGCAGAGGTGACTGTGTCCTGGGAGAGCTCACGCAAGGACATCTGTGGAGAGAGCCTAGAGGTCTCGCGCGACCACGCCGGCAAGATCACAGAACTCGCTGACGATGGAGTCAGGGATGGGTCCCTGGAGCCCTTGTGCGACAGGGTCAGGGACGGGATCCTCGAGCCAGGGTGGGAGGGAGTCAGCGATGACATTCTTGAGCCAGGGTGTGATGGAGCCAGGGCGGCCACCACCGAGCCTGCGGGCAGAGACGGCACCAAGGACCGCACCAGGGACACGACGGACCGGGTCTTAGAGGCTGGCTGCAGCGAGGCCACAGACAGGACCTGGGAAGCCGCACGTGACCAGACCCCAGGCTGGGCCAGGGAAGCCGCACGTGACCCGACCCCAGGCTGGGCCAGGGAAGCCGCATAGAACGGGTCCAGCACGTTGGCAGATGGCTCAGGGCACGAGTGGGACGGGAGGGGCGGCTGCCAGAGCGGGGGGCCCTCGGAGCCCCGGTGCAGCCAGCCGTGTAGTCGCTGCAGGCTCCGCACGTCCTGGTGCTCCTGGCGCAGCTGTTCGCGCTGCTCCTGCAGCTGGTGCCGCATGTTTTGCAGGACCTGCGCCCGCTGCAGGAGCCTCAGGAGCTCCTGCCGCAGCCGCCCGTTGTCCGCCTTGATGGACTGAGTGTGCATGATGAGGACGCGCGCCGCCTCCCGCTCTGCGCGGCGCGTCATGGACTGCACGTGTTGCCGCGCCTCGCGCTCCAAGGCCGCCTTGTCCTCCAGGAAGTGACGCTTCGCGCGGTGGAGCAACTGCGTTTGCTCCACGCGCATGTGCAGCAACTCGCGCTCCAGCGAGCGGATGCGTGCCAGCTGCTCCAGCTGCAGGTCCTGCTGTGGGGGCGCGCGTCAGCCCGGGTGGGGTGCGCCCTACCCGCCGGCCCCCTCCCGCCCACGGGGCGGGCGCACTGGCCTTGTAGGGCTGCAGCTCCTGCACCTGCCGCGCCATGTTCTCCGCGCGCGACTTCATCTTCTGCAGCTGAGCGTTCACCTCGTCCTCGCGCCCTTGGTAAAGCAACGCCAGCTCGGCTCGCTGCCAGCGGATCTGCGCCAGGTCCAGGCGGTTCTGGTCCTCCAGCCGCACGATGTTGTTGGCGCAGCGCTGTGCGTGCGCGCTCACATAGTTGGCGTACAGTCTGTTCTCTTCGCGCAAGCGTAGCGCTTCGCGGTCCAGGAAGGCGTTGTACTGCAGCACCTGGTCCACGCGCTGCTTGCAGGCCACCAGCTGCTCCGACAGCAGGTTGTACTCGCGCTGCAGGTACTGCGCGCGCTCCGACAGCAGAGACTTCGCACCGTCGCCCGCCGGCTTGCGGCCGGCGCTCTGCCCGCGCTTCTTCTTGGGCTCCATGGGTTGGGTCCTGGGCCACCTGAACTCATGAGAACACCGTGCCCCACCCGCTCCCGCACCTCAGCGACCCTCCTTCCTCACCCTGAGAGTTTTAGAGAACTAGCCCCCAGCCCCAGGGGTACGACGGGCCTAAGGTCTACGAGGTTTGGAGCAGGCGGAATAGGAAGTCACACGGTCGCCCACCTGGACCTTGGGCTCCCTTCGGACCCTGCGTGTCCATCCGGATGCGTGCATCTAACGTTAGGGATGCTGGCGTTCAGTCTTCGCAGCCTCTATGGAGACAGAACTTTGAGGGCGTCCCCCATCCCGCCTCGTTCTGTTGCTCTGGCAACGGCCCAGGTCCCTCGTTTCCCTGCAAGTTTCCTCTACAACTAGGTCGGTGCGGGACAGCGGGGCAGTCGAGGCATGACCCCGCGGGGACGGGTTCGAGTCAGGCGATACTTGGGCTGCAGGGCGCAACCCCAGTCCACGTCTCCGGGTCCAGCCGCGTGTAGCCGGAGCCTCCCTGGATGGGCTCCGGGGAGACAAGCCGCCCATGTGGACACTGAACCACGGGAGACATAGGGATCCTCAGTTCACTGTGAGAGCCCAAGGGAAGGGCCACGGGTGGTGGCACCGCCTCACCCCAGCACTGTAGAGGCAGAGCAGGCACATCTGAGAGTTCCAGGCCAGTCTGGTCTACATAGCGAGTTCCAGGCCAAGTAAGAAAGAAAAAAAGCCCAGAGTGGCAAAAGCGAGGCAGTTTGCTTTACGACCTTGCAAAGTCCGACGTCAGCCTAGAGAAAAACCCAGAGAAAAGGCAAAAATCGCTAGCGCATGCGTTTATCAGTACAAAACTGTTTTTATATTCCTAAACGCATTGCCCTGCCCGGAATTCCTCATTGGCTGAGTTCCTCAAGGAAGGCCAGTCTTCCTGCTTGTCTAGCTGAGTCCCCACCCAAGTTCCCCATCCTCCTGGGGCTGGAGATCTTTCTTCTAGTAGCTTAGTCGTGTAGCAGATTGTAACGTTTCAACCCTAACATAAACTAAAAGGCGCCCAGGCAAGCAGAGGGGCCGGTACCTCCCGCTTATCTGTGACTCACTGATGAGCGCCAAAATGAACCATAATGATTTATTTTCTTATAACCATTAGCATGTTTGACTAATTTTTTCTGAATGATTTAACTTTGTTATATATTTTAAATTTTTTATTTATTATTTTTATGTGTTTGAGTGTATTGCCTGCATGTATGTAAGTGCACCCATGTCTTGGCAGTGCCCTCAGAGCTCAGAAAAAGGTGTTGGATCCCCTGCAACTGGGGTTAGACAGTTGTTTGCCATCATGTGGATGCTGGGAATTGAGCCCAAGTCCTCTGGAAGAGCAGCCAGTACTCTTAACCACTGAGCCATTTCTCCAGTCTCCTGATACATGTTTTTTGTTTTTTGTTTTTTTTTTTTTAATGTGAGTAGTCCTCAAGGGCCTGGTGGAGCCCCACCTTGGGGTTATGAGTTTGTTTCTTTCCCTGTTAAAAGACTCAGGCTGCTGGACACCTTCTGACATGTAACTTAAATCTGCACCTGTTCTCTGTACTGCCATCACACAGTAGAATATCTGGTCAGGTTAGTCCACACTTTCTAGGTATGGGCAGATTTGAGAATCCTTGTGTTTAGGAAGCCACATTTAAACAAAGATTTGAGTAAAATTATGTGAGTTTTTCTGGAAAGATGTGAACAAAGTTCTCTTCACCCCTGAACGGGCACCAGTGAGAGACCAAAGGAAATCCCACCCAATCCAGCTTGGTGAACAGGGGTTTACTGTGGGTACTTAACAGGAATATAGGTGAGGGGCTTCTTACAGGAGCGTGGGTGACTCAGTGGCATCTGCGTCACAGAAAAGTGCAGCCACAGTGGGTCACTGACTGGGAAATCTGCAACTCTGGAGCCCCCTGCAGGAGACTTTCCTCTCCCCAGCAATGGTTTATGCTGGTATAGTGGCCTTGTGAATCTTCTTCCACCTGTTCTGAACCCATCAGTTGTATTCATTTCCTGAGTCTCAGGAGCTGCTGGGAGGGAGTGTCAAGTCTGAGGATTTTTTTTGGTCTTTTTGAGACAGGGTCTCCCTGTAGCCCCAGCTGCCCTGGAACTCACTGTGTAGACCAGGCTGCCTCTGCCTCCTGAGTGCTGGGATTAAAGGCATGTGCCACCACGCCTGGCTATGTGATGGCACATTTTTAAGATTTTAAAGTAACTTATTCCTAAACCAGCAACTGGATGTTGGTCCTAAAATGTGGACTTTTAATGTGAAAGTGGTGCTTGTGAGAACTGGGAAAAGACCAACAGTACTGGAGACGTGGCCCCAGGTATGGAGGGCTCTAAGGCCCCTCCTCACCTCACAGCCTGCCCCAGCTGACTCAAGTTGTAAGTCAGTGATCCTTTGACACGGCTTGGCTAAGGTGACTTTCATGCTAGGACTGAGGGTAACAAGCCAAAGGCAGAGAAGCTAAAGTATTTACCAGATGAGGTTATAAAAACAAGATTCATTAGAGAAAACGCAGGGCTGGGAAGATGGCCCCCCAAGATGGCATTTGTTGCTCTTGAAGGGGACCCAGGTTTGGTTCCCAGCACCCACATGGCAGCTCACAGTCATCTGTAACTCCAGTTTTACAGGATCTGATGCCCTCTTCTGACCTCCAAGGGCACTTCATCACATGGTGCATATACATACACTCAGACACACACTCTTACATATGAAATCCTTCCTCGTCTTCTTTTTTGGTCTTTTTGAGACAGGGTCTTCCTGTAGCCCAAGCTGGAACTCACTAAGTAGACCAGGCTGGCCTCAAACTCACAGAGCTCTGCCTGCCTCTGCCTCCCAAGTGCTGGGATTAAAGGCGTGCACCACCGCATCAGGCAACAGTAAATCTTTTTAAAAAGAAAGAAGCTGGGCTGGAGAGATGGCTCAGTGGTTAAGAGCACTGACTGCTCTTGCAGAGGACCAGGGTTCAATTCCCAGCACCCACATGGCGGCTACAAACCGTCCTTAACTCCAGTTCCAGGGGAATCCGAAGCCCTCTTCTGACCTCCACGGCATTACACAATACCGGTGCACTCACATACATGTGGGCAATACACTTGTACACATAAAAAATGAAATAATAAAATATTTTAAAAAAGAAGTTGGGTGGTGTTGGTGCATGTCTTTGATCTAAGCACACAGGAGGCACAGGCAGGAAGATTTCTGTGAGGTGGAGGCCAGCCTGGTCTACATGGCAAGTTTCAGGTCAGCTGGGGCTACAGGGAGACCCTGTCTCAAAAATTAAATAAAAATAATAACAATGAAAAAGGAGGAAAATGCCCTGCAAGGAGAGACAGACCCTGCAGATGAATTATCAGAAAGAAAATTCAGTGCTGGGAGTGGATGTTCTTTTACACAGTTAAGGGAGGTTACAGGTTTTCTCTCGTGTGTCTTTTGTGTGGTTTTGTGCAGAGTGGATATTTGGGTAGACAAGTGGACATCTCTCTTGTTAAGTGGTAAATTTTGCAGCATTAGTTAGCTATTATTTCTTGAGATTGACCCTTTGGAGTGAGCCACCCTGGGTCATTAGGTGTTAGGCCCTGAATGTCTCTATAAGGCATCTCAAGTCACTAGAGGCAGGCTCCAAGTAGTCACAGGGTCTGATTGTTTAAGTGTAGAGATTTTTGCTTTTATTTTTGGAATTTCTTTTGTACAGTGACTTTAAATACATAAATGAGCCGGTGTGGTGGCACACGCCGGACGTTGTTTATAAATAAATGAATAAATAAATAAACAAACAAAATGACAGAGAACCTGCTTTTATTTCAGAGGTAATAGATGAAATTTCCTAGATGCTGTGAGTAAAATGAGGTCACATGCAGCTTGAAGACCCATCATCTGGCCACACTGTAAGGGTCATTCATTATTTATTTATTTTTGAGATAGGTCTCCCTGTAGCCCCTGCTGGCCTGGAACTCAATATGTAGACCAGGCTGACCTTGATCTCACAGAGATCTGCCTGCCTCTGCTTCCTGAGTGCTGGGATCAAAGGCACCACCACACCAGGATCCATTGTTACTTTAGATAGAAGTAACCCAAGCCTGGGATTTATGGATAAGGTTTTAGAATAATAAATTGAAGCTGGATGTAGTGGTGCACGCCTGTAGTCCCAGCACTTGAGAGGCAGAGGCAGGCAGTTCTCTGTGAGTTCAAGCCCAGCCTGGTCTACATAGTAAGTTCTAGGACAGCTGGGGCTACAGGGAGACCCTGCTTCAAGAAGACAAAAAAAAAGATTGAAGTATGAACAAATTTAATAATTTCCCAGTTCTCCCCCCCACACCTCTTTTTAAAATATTTTTGCAACTAGATCTTTTCTTGCCTGCCTGTCATGTGTCCCACTCTGAGACAGGAGACATACTGTAATTAGTGACTCCATGCTGAGGGAATGGGCTGCAAGCTTGGCATAGAGGCTGGTGCCCCTCCCTTCTGAGTATCAGACAGTTAAGGTGTTTAATAGGTATGTAGGAGTTCGAGTCTGCAGCTGGCCTCCTAAGAAAAAAGTAAAACTGTTTCTGCCCTACCCTCCTATCAAGGGGCTGGAGTAGGAGCAGAGGACTCTGCCAAGTCCCAAAGAGATGGAGATCTCACACCCACCATCCTATAAAACTCCCAAGACCCTTCTTTCCTGAATATGGGGCATCTTAAGATGGAATGTCTGTCCTATGTTCCTCAGGTCCAGACTTGAACAGAAACCTGTCTGTAATAATAAAGAAGGGTAACAATGGAGGCAACCCAAAGTCCAGCTGCCCTTTCCCAGGCAAGACTCAGTTAAACTGTCTCATAGTGGGATCAACTTACCTTTTAATCTGTTTCATGGTTTTCCATAAATTGTAAGGCTGCCACAGGCGTGGTGCTAACTAAGAAGGCTGTTTCTCCCCGTGTTTTTTTTTTTTTAAGATTAAAAACACCTGATGAAAAACAAACTTAGGAAGGATTTGTTTTGGCT